AAAGGTTGCTGTCCAAGATCTATGGAAGAATATTAGGTGTACTGAAGTTTAAACAGAAATTGTCATCTATGTATTGACACTGGATGAAACGACGGAGATTGGAAAGAACTCAAAATCAGAAAGAGAGAGAGAACACACAGAAGTCGGAATGAATCCCGTGAACGTACTTAAAGTGATAGAAAGGCATCTGGCCAAACGCCACTGGGGATGCAGTAGGTAACTTTCATTCTTGAAGACAAAAGATTTTGATGAATCCGAAAAGGACAATCTTTCTCCTCAAGCTCCCCCAACCAAGGCATATGGAACAGATTATTCACCGTGCGCCAACGCATCAAAAACCCAACCTAAGGCAAACTGGCTCGTATTAGTGGGTTTTTCATGTGAGTATCACATTCTGAAAAACCGCCAGTTGAGTACGGTTAACTAAGGGGAAAGGATAATTTTAATAGTCTTATAATGCTGATGAACAACTCATTTAGACCTTTATTAATTCAATAAGTGATAATGACCCCAAAACATTGTTCAGCATATTCAGGTCAGCCGTTCCGGTGACATTAAGTCGGAACTGCAAGCTTTGTTTCGTTCGAGACTACTCATAACTGTAGTGACCCTGTTTCCCGCTGATGAGTTGCTTGTACATCCTGAGAAGATCGGCAAATGGTGCNAAGCGTAGTTGCTTCGTAGTCAGCAGCAGACTCACATTGTTGATCTTAGATTTTTAGGGACTTGTCCTGGATTAACTCATAAAACATTATTATGCATCCCCATCAGATCTGTCTAAAAAATGTTTAATTTTAGCTTTTCCCTAGACTTACTAAATCAATTGTCCTCAACGGATGAAGGTTTGATGCGTGTAGATTTATGCAGAATAATCCGAATTTAGGTTAAGTTTTACTTCTGTGCAATAAACTGGAAAACTGAAATGCAAACATTGTGGGAAAAAACAGTACAAACACTGTGACTTAGCTGCTCATATTTTGATATTTACAGTTTGTGAAACAAAACAATACAGACCATATGCAATCATTGGTTAGCGTATCATGGGGATTTAGGGGACTGACCGAAATTGTGAAAACAACAACTTATGTTATAATTTTCTTCAGAAATTACTTTCACTCGTTGAGATTCAATACAAGTGAATTGTAATGTGGTGCAAAATTGAGGAATATCACTTAGGAAAGAAGAAAAAAAGGTGTACGCCATAAGCACTTTTAGGTGTTTACGGATCCACCACGAATGTACGCGCATTATCACACTAAGTGAGACTATCGGCTCAGAACGTGAACCGCCTGTGGCTCGGAGGTAAGTCAACTTCCTCTTCTGGAGACACAAATAAACCACACCGTTTTTGAGTTCAAACTATATCGGCAAAACCTGTGTAAAACCATTTGTCAGACAACACAACATTCTCTATTTCCACAAGTTAACATTTCTTCCTGTCTCGCGCGACTGTAATCTTCGAAACGTCTTTTGTTGGTATAAGTGCCAAGAAAACCTGAACTTAATAGTTGAAAAGCACCAGCTCGGCAGTCGCAGTCTCAACGATTTTCAGCTACCGTCCGAGAACACTGATTCCATGGAAAACATAAGCGAAATTTTCGTCTGACAATCTTGAAGTAGATCCGACGGTTTTGCTTTGACGATACACAATATGACACAGTCTATCGGTGAATATTTCCACCCCAAACCCCAGGCATTGTGAGTTTTCTCATGCACATACAAAATAATCATTTTGTGCGGGTCAGCCACATTCACGCAGAAAACGATCATTTCAAACATACCAAAATACAATAGCAAACAGGTGTAGTTTTGAAGCAATCAAGAGCTCTCTTTTACGAGAACAATAATGAAGAACACAATTAAAATATAGACGTACACTACGCAGTCTGTGCAAGCGATAAACTTCCCGGTTTTATCACGTGTCGTTTTCAACGGCCTTGAAACGACACCCGATCTGAATGCTCGTTCGACATTCATATATGAGAGAACCGAAACAGTGCCACTATGCTCCCATTTTGTTTTATTGGCCATGTCGTTAATGGGAGGATTCTTTTGTTTGACACCTCACAAGATGTCACATGGAAAGAAAGACACAAGCGATATCATAAACAATACAAGAAAAAAAGTCTTCCCCTTTGAAAGCGTAACTCAGTCAAACATCTTAGGTTTATAATATTCAAATGGTACACCGGAATGGCTCAAGCATAATTCAGTACTCTAAAATATTCCGAAAAACCATCTTAATCACTAAATATTCAGTAGTTCCCATCACTGTGGGATTACTTACTTGAGCAAACACAAATCTCTGAGCTTCGTTCTTCGAAACGGTCACCTTGGATATGTTCACAGCATTGATATCGGGAAATAGGAATGTGGGACTGTTATCGTTCTCGTCCAGAACACGTATACGAACGGGGACACGTTTGATCAACGGGGGATTACCTTGATCCT